CAGACGCACAGGCTCAGCGGCCATGGCTCACGGGCCCAGCCGCTCCGCGGCATGTGGGATCCTCCCGGACCGGGGCACGAACCCGTGTCCCCTACATTGGCAGGCAGACTCTCAACCACTGTGCCACCAGGGAAGCCCCAAGACTGCTAGTTTTAAAATGAAGTGTTTCTACTTTATAAGGGCTTTCCCCATCAGCCCAGCTTAATAGCTGGCAGCACACACTGGCCTTTGTACTGGCTGTTCCCTCTACAAGGAATACTATTTCCCAGAGACCCACATGACTTGCTCCTTCACCTCCTCCGGGTCCCTGCTCAAATGTTACCGCCTCTATGAAGCCCTCCCTGACTTCCACATTTAAAATAGCAAAGAAAAATAAACCATCCCATTAGCCCCCAAGCCCCATTTGGCTACTGTTTTTTCTTACACTGCCATATTATACAGTCACGTGTTTATCATGAACAACAGCTCCTTGAGGGCAGGGGCTATCTGTCTGGTTCACTGCTGTGTCTCCAGTGCTTGGTGTATAGGAGGATTCAATCCATTTTGTGGACTGAATGAATGGAGTCTGATGAGGCTTCCACCCAACCCTGGCCAGCATCCATGCCCCCAGTGGCTTCATGTCTAGTGAGATCATGATCTCACAGAGGGCAGACAAAAGCCGAGCCCCTGGAGCAAGTCTGCCTGGATCTGCATCCTGGCTCCCCCACTTGCTAACTATGTGACCTGAGAAGATTTCCTTAACTTCTCTGGGCTTCGGTTTGCCCATCTGTAAAATGGAGACAAGAATGGTTGCTACCTCTCAGAGTTGCTATGAAGGTTAAATTATTTCCTATACTGTGTCAGTTAGCTACTGCCGTGTAACAAACCGTTCTAGAACTTAGCAACTTAAAACACCAAGAGTGTGTTATTTCTGGGTCTGAAATTTGGGAAGGGCTTAGCAAAGTGTCTTTTCCGCCCTACAGAGTGTCAGCTGGGGTCACTCAGCTGTATTCAGCTGGTGCCCAGGCTGGGCTGGCAGGTCCAAGCAGGGCTTCACTCACGTGTTTCATGGGGCTTGCACTTCCTCAAAGCATGGGGGTATCAAGGCTGTCAAACTTCTCAACGTGGCGCTGGCTCCCCCGAGGGCAAGCATGCCCTGATACAAAGGCAGAAGCTGCAGTCTATTAGGACTCAATGTCAGAAGTTTACACGGTGCTCCACTCTGTGGGTCAAAACCAGTCACTAGACCAGCCCTGTGAAGGGAAAGGAAAACGGACTTCAGCTCTGAATGGCAGGGGGTGGCAGAGAATTTGCAGTTGTCTTTAACCTACCACACAGACATAAAATGCTCAGAGCAAAGCCTGGCACGTTGGAATTAAAAAATAATCCCTGTCGACTATTATTTTTTAAATCATCATCATCTTTACAGCAGCAAGTCAAAGCTAGTCCCATGTTCTCAACATATGTCAATAGCTCAAAGCTTCTCCAATTTATAGGGTGCTATGCCATGCTGAGATAAACACACTAACCCCTAACAGAAACCCCACAAGGTAAGATGTGTCATTAACCCCTTTCAGAGATTGGGAAACTGAAGCTCAGAGAGGGGCAATGACTTGCATAAGGTCAGAGAGCATAGAAAGGTCTGAGCCAGGATCTGAACCCAGGAGTGTCTAAACCACTGTAAATCATGGTCTACACACACCTAGCCCCTTTCCTCAACAAATGGGCATTGGGTTCCTTGGGTCACTGTGGGTGACAGTGCTTATGGGTACAGACGGAAAATCCCTCCATCCTGAGGCCCAGAGAAAGAAGAGGGGGGGACAAATCTTGAGAGCTTACTAGAGGGCGAGTGCTTTGCATATTTCATTACACTTAAATGTAACTTCTCTCTCCTCATTCATTCATTCATTCAACAAAAATTTACTGGGCACCTACTATGTGCCGGGAAAACAGCTTTGAGCAAAATAGACCCAATGGTGGCCCTCGGGAAGACAGCCAGGGAATGAACAAATGAAACCACTCAGATTGTGGCAAGTAGTACGTAGCGGATTAGGAAGATGCTGGAAACTTCAGTTCGGGTGATGTGAGACTGCTTCCATAAGGAAGCGACATTTAACCAGAATATAACATCTTGAAGAGACAGCTAGAGGATGCCCATCCCAGGCAGCGGGAACAGCCCGTGCAAAGGCCCTGAGGCGGGACCTTGCCTGATGTGTTGGAGGAACAGTGCAGAGGCCCGTGTGGCTGCATTAATGAGACGACTGTTTGCCAGAGACTTATGGCACCAGTAAAAAATATAGATTGCAAAATCATAGGTACGCTAAAACTTTCCATCAACGTATGCACCGGAGAAAGAAAAACATTAACATACTAATTGTTGAGGTATTAATGCCACGGGATTATGGGGGGCCTTTTCGTTTGTTGGACAGTGTTGGTTTTATAGTTTTATGTTGGGCACGAGGAACCTCTGTGCCCCTTTTACAGATGAGCAAATACAGGCTGCAAAGGATTTTTAAGCAAATAGCCCAGGGTCACACAGCTAGTAAATGGTGGAGTCAGGATTTGATTCTGGGACACTTACTGAATCCTTCAGATTTCTGACTATCCCCGATAGACATTCTGACTCTAGGGTCTGTTGCTGGGTCCTAGGGCGTCTGGTAATCCCCCAAAGCTTCCCATCGAATTTTACTGCTCCTTTCATCCTCAGGCAAGTCAGTGAACCTCTCTGTGCTTCTGGTTCCCCATCTGTAGGATGGGAGAATCGCAGTTATCAACCCCAGTGTGTGCAGATGAGGACTAAGGGACTCAATGTTTGTAAAGTACAAGAGCGGTGCCTAAGCTGGTGCTTTGTGTTTGTTAAATAATTGTATTTAAATGGCCCTCGGGCAAGGATGAGGCGCGCTGAATGGCATTGGATTGTAAGCTCGACTTGTGTTCTAGATCACGTGGACAGCGGGGTCGGTGGCGAGGGACTTCAATCTGGCTTATGCTCCTGAGAAGCAGGAGGTGGTGGTCAGCTACCTTCCTCTCAGCCACATCGCAGCTCAGATGATGGATGTCTGGATACCCATGAAGGTCGGGGCTTTCACCTACTTTGCTCAACCAGATGCACTCAAGGTATTAAGGCTAAGGGCAGCCTGGAGGAGTGGATGGTTCCTTCAAGTCCCAGATCTGGGGGTTCCTTCTCCGTCCTCATCTAATGCTCCCAGTTAGCAGCGTTTGAAACAGTCGGCCACCTTCTTTTCGTTTTTATCTTTATCCAAGTCATGGTATCCATGGTTGTGCAGACTGTACACTGAACAAACTAAGACTAAGATGTGAATGGTATTGAAAGCAGAACGTGTGTGTACGTGTGTAGTTTTTTTTTAAGTCAGTATTCCCCACTCCAAAATGCTCCCCAAACCAAACGTTTTTGGCAGTAAAATCTGACCTGAACTGATGTGAAGCTATCTGGAGTCTTCATTTTTATCCCACTTATTGGGAATATGTGTATCTGCAGAAATATTAACGTGACGGATTTCAGCTGGCTTGCCAAGACACCGCTGTGGGATTCATATAACAAATGAAATAAGCACCATATTATCTTTCTGAAGGCCAGAGAATTCTAAATTCCAGAACACATCTGGCCCCAAGTGTTTGGGATGAGGGATTTTGGACCTCTTTTGAAAAACAGCAGTGTCCTAACCACCCTCCAGAGGCAAACTCTCCAGAATTTTCAAGAGTTTTGTTCTGGCGTTTACCTCCAGTTTTTAAAAAATATGTAATAATTTTCTTGATGCACGCACTTTTGAGTATTATCTATTACTTTTCTAGGCAAGGATTTAATCCTCTTACACCCCCATCTTCACTTGCTTCCCCTTTTCCCATCCTCTCAATGAGAAGATTTCTTATTAACAGAGCCATGTAGTTTACTACATGATTACATTTCCTGTCTGGTACAACCTTTTGTTTTCCCCAGAGTTGATAGTTGCCTTTCTTTTCCAGTTTGGTGGAAGTTTTCTGTATACCTGTCCAGTTGCTCCATCTCAACTGTCACATGCTTATCAGGATTTTCCAAATGTTCTAATACCTACTGCATTATTTTCTCCTCCATCCTTCTGCCCTGAGTAGGACTGGTGGTTGTTTTAAGTTGTCCTAGATTGGGCCCCCTAGAAGCAGAACCTGAGATGGGATGGAGATTTTTGTACTTAATTGAGTAGGATCTCTCAGGTGAAAACTGTAAGGGAGTGAGGGGAGCAAGATACCGCAAGGGGAGAAGAGAGGATGTAAGTTCAGCTGGCATGTAAGTGGAACTGCCCTTACGCAAACCAATCCCATGGGAATCTCTGAAGCGTGAATGGCACCACAGTTGTACTGCTTTGAGGCAAGGGGTCTGGGCTTTTGTACCCCCATCTCAGAGAGTCATTGGCTATAGGCTTATGCACTCATGTGGGTGCACAACTTCCCAGGCATTTCTGAATAAGGGCAGTTCTCTGAAAAAGGAGGGAAGCTGTGGACCATTAGAGGTCTGAAGAGGACATCAACAGTAGCTTCTACCAGCTGTCACGCAGGGATATCCCTTCCTCCCACTCCTGTGCTGAATCCTCTGTTTTCTAAGGTCCTTGTGTTCTTTTTCGGGGGGTTACCTCTTCATTTAGCCGGAGTTCATCTTTGGTAGGTTTTTCATGTTAAGTAAGTGAAAGAAATCTTGTATGTCCTGACCTTGTAGACTTAACAGAGCCAGAAAAGAACTCTGCACTTTCCTCAGCTACACCCTCTGTATTTGCTTACTATGATTGCTGGAACAAATGACCACAAAACTTAGTGGCTTCAAACAACATAAATTTATTATGCCACAGTTCTGGAGGTCAGAAGTCTAAAGTGGGTCTCAATGGGATAAAACCAGGACATGAGGAGGACTGTGTTCTTTCTGGAAGCTCTTGGGGAGAGCTGGTTTCCTTGCCTTTTTTAGCTTCTGGAGGCTGCCTACGTTCCTTGGCTTGTGGCCTCTTCCTCCATTTTCAAAGCCAGGAGCACACAGCATCTTCAAATCTCTCTCTCTCTCTCTCTCTTACACACACACACACACACACACACACACCCCTACCTCTGCTCCCACTGTCACACCTCTCTGATCCTCCTGCCTCCCTCTTATAAGGACCCCTTATGTCATCCAGTGATGACACTGGACCCACCTGGAAAATCCAGGATAATCTCCCCTAGGCTAAGTCCTAGGGCCTTTGTAATTCCTTCCAGAGGGTTCATTCTCCTGTTCTTCACATGGCTGGCTCCTCCATGTCATTTAGTTCCCTGCTTAAATATCTCCTTGACCCCTTTCGGTCACTCTCACATCCCCCATGCTCAGTGTCTGAGACACATTAGACACTCCGTAAATGAATACTTTGTTTTCCGGCTGAAAACATAATGTATACATACACTCGCCTACAAGGCCTGAGAAGTTCCCAGTCTCCAATAACCTTATCAACCCCTAATAACTGTCAAAAATTTTCAAATTGTCAACCAGGAAACAAAGCTGTCTTAACTTTTTTTTTTTTTTTTGGCTGCACCGCGCGGCACGTGGGATCTTAGCTCCCCCACCAGGGATCGAACCCGCGCCCCCTGCAGCGGAAGCGCAGAGTCTTAACCACTGGACCCTGGCTTAACATCATAAGCAACTGCCAGAATGTTTTCAAAGTGGCTGTGTCATTTTACATTCCCAACCAGAAGTGTACGAGAGGTCCAATTTCTCCACATCCTCACCAACACTTGTTTTTGTTCTGTTTTGTTTTTATTATTATTGCCATCCTAGTAGATGCGAAGTGGTATCTCCCATTTTAATTTGCATTTCTCGAATGATTAATGGTGGTGAGCATCTTTTCCTTACTGGCCGTTTGTATATCTTCTCTGGAAAAATGTCTGATCAAATTTTTCACCCTTAAAAATTCTGGTTGTATATCTTCTTATTGTTGAATGTTAAAGGATTAATGTTCTTTTTAATGTTAAATCCTTTAATGTTAAAGGATTTGTTCTTTATACAAATCCTTTATCAAATATATGATTTGCAAATACTTTCTCCCAGTTCCGTGGCTTGTCTTCTCATTTTCTTACTAGTGTCTTTTGAAAAGCAAAACGTGTTTACCTCTAATGAGTGTCGACTCTCCAATTTATTGATTTTTTTTTTCTTCCATGCTTCTGGTGTCATTTGTAAGAAATCACTGCCTACTCCAAGGTCACAGAGATTTTCTTCTGTGTGTTCTTCTGGAGGGCTTTTAGATTTAGCTCTTACTTTTAGGTCTGTGATCCATTTTGAGGTAATTTTTGCATTTGGCAAGAAGGCTCTAAGTTAGCTAAGCTCTCGCTTGTTTGTTTATATACAGATATCCTTTCCTGCATTAAATTGCCTTAGCACTTTTATTGAAGGTCAATTGATCATAAATGTGAAGACTCATCTCCAGATTTTCAGTTTTGTTCCACTGAACTTTAGGTCTATTCTTACACCAAAACTACACTGACTTTATTTTTCTGGCTTTATAGCAGTATGACCACCTTGTCCCTGTTTACCTGGGACTTTCCCGATTTCATAAGTGAAAGTCCTACAATCCAGGAACGTCTCCAGTTCTGGGCAAATCAGGACAGTTGATCACCCTACTCTGTAATAAGTTTCAAAATCAGGTAATAAGCCCTCTGATTTTGTTCCTTTTTTCAAAATTGCTTTGGTTATTCCAGATCCTCTGCATTTCCACATAAATCTTAAGATTAGCTTGTCAATCTGTATGAAATAGCTTGCCTATTTTTGACAGGGATTACATTGAACCTATAGATCAATCTGGAGGAAAATCTTGCATAATACTCCACTGCATCCTTGGGCCACAGTTTCTTTAGCCGATCCCCCATCACTGGCCACGGAATCTGTTTCCATCCTGTTACAAAATGATGCACGAAGAATATCTCACACGTGCTTCTCTGTGTACCTGATCTTTCATTCAGCTGAATTGTCACCCACAGCAGTGAAGTTGCCAAGTTGCATTTAAAATGTTAATAGTACTCTCACGCTGCCTTCCAAATATATTTTACCGGTCTGTGCTCTCTACCAAATCCCCAGAGAGAGCACGATAATCTGATTGGCTACTGGCCAGCCAATGGATTGGCTCCCTTGGGTCAGGAGCTCACCCTGGTCCAATAAGCCAAGAGAAGGTTTTCCTGGGCTGAGCTGAGCGGCTGAGGAGAGATGGACATCTGGGTTGCAGGTGTGGCTAACCCAGCTCTGCGCCCTGCAGGGCACTTTGGTCAACACTCTGCAGGAGGTAAAGCCTACCGCCTTCCTGGTTGTGCCCCTCCCTGACCCCCGCCCTGCCGCCATATTGCAAGGCTGGCTCTCCTCTCATGCTCAGCCGAGTTCTGGCTGCCTCTGAACTTAGCAAAAACTAAATTCAGTCTTCCCAATCTGGCAAAACCATCTCCTGCCTCTTACTTTACCTTGCACATCAGTATCTCCCGTTCTCCAGTCCATAATCCCATCTGGGTCTGTTTTCTGCAGAACCCAAATGCCCACTGGAGTTTTCTTCCAAAACCAAAGAGTGGTCCTTCCTTAAAGAGTGTTTTTCGCGGTGCAGAATTTTTTTTATCTTTACCTGGTTGAACTCATGAGACTTGCATAGCTTCTGAGTTTTTCCATATTCCTAGGAAAGCTTTTTTTTTTTTTTTAAAGATTTAATCTTAATTCTTAAGTTTTGGTGTTCAGAAAGGACCTCTTGTAGATCCTGGAAATGAGATAGCTTGTTGATAAACATGGAAATCAAGTTAGTTTTTTGTTTTTGTTTTTGTTTTTTTAGCCACGTAGTATGTGGGATCTTAGTTCCCCAACCAGGGATCGAACCCTCATCCCCTGCGGTGGAGTCTTAACCACTCGATCACTGGGGAAGTCCCCCTAGAAAAGCTTTTTGTTTTTGTTTTTGTTTTTTTTTTGCGGTACGCGGGCCTCTCACCGTTGTGGCCTCTCCCGTTGCGGAGCACAGGCTCCGGACGCGCAGGCTCAGCGGCCATGGCTCACGGGCCCAGCCGCTCCGCGGCATGTGGGATCTTCCCGGACCGGGGCACGAACCCGCGTCCCCTGCATCGGCAGGCGGACTCTCAACCACTGCGCCTCCAGGGAAGCCCTAGAAAAGCTTTTAATGGAGGTCGTAAGGAGGCTCTTTATAAATTTTAAGCTTCACAGGCCTGCCTTCTTTTTCTTCTTACTGACTAAGGGAGTCCCTACACTTAAACCTAAAACCACTGGCCCTTCTAACTGCCAGTAAAAAAGACCTCAGCAAGGCAGTAAGAAAATACCTCCTTTTCTGCATCTTAAAACCACCCTCCCGAGTGGTATCACTAGTGAAAGGAATTTCACGAAAATCCAGATATCAGCTGGTGCTATTCTGTCTTGCGGAAGTAAGTTTAACCTCTAAAGAGATTCTGGTTGGTTGATTTACTTAAAATCAGCTGTCCTGGTCATTGCGTTCAGGTGGACATACCTGTTTTCTAGAGGGGGTTTTGTTGCTTCCTTTGTTTTTTTTGGCCGTGCCATGGGGCTTGTGGGATCTTAGTTCCCTGACCAGGGATTGAACCCGGGCCCGCGGCAGTGAAAGCGTGGAGTGCTAACCACTGGACCACAGGGGAACTCCCTGTTGCTGTTTTTAACCCGGGAGCATTTGTTTTCCTTCTCTCATTTATGTGAAGATAAAAACAATCTAGATTCACTTTGCTGTACACCTGAAACTAACAACTATACTCCAATAAAACATTTTTTAATTCCCCCCCAAAATAATAATAAAACAATCTACAACTCTGCTGGGTTTCCCAGTTCACCAAGTGTTTGGGAAATTGGCTCACTTGATTGAACAAGCCCTCCCTCCACTCGGCCAACACCTCTCATGCCCACCGGGTCCTGGGGAGGGTGCAGCAGCAGCTGCCAGCCCAGGCCAGCTGAGAAGAGTGTTAGGAGCCTGGGCCACAGACCCAGGCCAACCCGGGTGGGGGACCTCGTCTCCCCGAGCCTCAGTTCTTCTCCCTGCCGCCCCCTGGCGGTTCCGGCAGAGTCATGACTGGGTGTAAGAACATGCTGTACCAGCAGACCAAGGACGGCGTTGGGGAAATCTGCCTCTGGGGCCGGCATGTCTTCATGGGCTACCTGGAGAGGGAGGGCGCGACCGTGGAGGCCACCGATGAGGAGGGCTGGCTCCACTCTGGGGACCTCGGCCGCATGGACAACCAGGGCTTCCTCTCTATCACAGGCCGCATCAAAGGTACTGGGGCTGGGCTCTGCAGGGGCCTCCTGTGAGCAGGCTCACCTTGAACGTTGAAGGCTTCCAGACCCCGCCTTTCACGGGGCAGGCTTACACTGATGTACGGGGACACCCCAGTCCGCGCATCCCAGCTCTGTCCTTGTGCCCAGCATTTGGCCCTCGGCAGGGAGCCAGAAAACAAGCCCATTCTGGGCCTGAAACCTCTGTCCCCTCCCCTGCCGTTTGAGGATAACAATAACTACAGAGTTGCAACGATTCAGTGAGGATTAAATGAAATGATGTAGAACAGGGATCAGTCAACTTTTCCCATAAAGAGCCCACTCGTAAACATTTTGGATTTGCAGGACACAGGGTCTCTGTCGTAGCTGCTCCACTTGGCCGTTGGCAGTACACGATGTGCAGACCGACGGTCATGGCTGTTTGCCAACACAAATGTCACAGGATTTTCATGTGTCACGGATATCACTCTTCTTTGGATTTCCTTCCGACCATTAAAACACGTGAAAGGCATTTTTAGCTCGTGGCCATACAAAAACAGGCGGAAGGTGGGATTTAGCCCACAGGCTGGAGGTTACCAACCTCTGAGGGAGACCATTTGGCATGGAGGCTGACATAGGCAGTAACTGTACAATAAGAGGGCTGTGTTAGCATTATTTCCATGATAAGCAACAGAAAACCCTTCTTAAGCAGGTTTGAGTGAAAAAGTGATGCTGGGCTTCCCTGGTGGCACAGTGGTTGGGAGTCCGCCTGCCGATGCAGGGGACACGGGCTCGTGCCCCGGTCCGGGAAGATCCCACATGCCGTGGAGCGGCTGGACCCGTGAGCCATGGCCGCTGAGCCTGCGCGTCCGGAGCCTGTGCTCCGCAACGGGGGAGGCCACAACAGTGAGAGGCCCGCGTACCGCAAAAAAAAAAAGAAAAAGTGATGCTATTGGCTCAAAACCAGAAAAGTCCAAAATGTCATGCTTCCGGCATGACTGGATCCAGGTGCCAAAATGACATCACAAGTAATCTCTTTATCCTTCTGTTACCATGCTGTCCTCTGTGTTGATGCTATTCTTTTTTTTTTTTTTTTTTTG